ATAACCCCAAGCAGAGCTACAGGCTGGGAGATGAGTGGTTGGAGAGCTGCCAGGCAGAGAGGGACCTGGGAGTGATGGTGGACAGTCGGCTGAATATGAGCCAGCAGTGTGCTCAGGTGGCCAAGAAGGCCAACGGCATCCTGGCTTGTATCAGAAACAGTGTGACCAGCAGGGCTAGGGAGGTGATCGTCCCCCTGTACTCGGCTCTGGTGAGGCCGCACCTCGAGTACTGTGTTCAGTTTTGGGCCCCTCGCTACAAGAAGGACATCGAGGTGCTTGAGCGAGTCCAAAGAAGGGCGACGAAGCTGGTGAGGGGCCTGGAGAACAAGTCCTACGAGGAGCGGCTGAAGGGGCTGGGCTTGTTCAGCCTGGAGAAGAGGAGGCTCAGGGGCGACCTTATCGCTCTCTACAGATAAATTAAAGGAGGCTGTAGAGAGGTGGGGGTTGGCCTGTTCTCCCACGTGCCTGGTGACAGGACGAGGGGGAACGGGCTAAAGTTGCGCCAGGGAAGTTTTAGGTTAGATGTTAGGAAGAGCTTCTTTACTGAAAGGGTTGTGAGGCATTGGAACAGGCTGCCCAGGGAGGCGGTGGAGTCACCATCCCTGGAAGTCTTCAAAAGCCGTTTAGATGTAGAGCTTAGGGATATGGTTTAGTGGGGACTGTTAGCGTTAGGTCAGAGGTTGGACTCGATGATCTTGAGGTCTCTTCCAACCTAGAAATTCTGTGATTCTGTGATTCTGTGATCAGCTATGCTCAGGTTGTACTTTTGTGTTTCTGTGGCAGTAAGGATTAAAGATATAATTACTTTCAGAAATGGAAGGAGATACTTTGAAACCTTCTTACCACATAACCTAGAGCTTTAGACACACGCTATTGTGCCTCACCATTCACCTTGCCAATGTCAACCCATTAAAAAATATTTATTAGACAATGATAATCCTATTTACCAAATACTTTTCTTCCTGATCTTCAGTATCCTTAGATACCCACTGACAAACTGAATGAAAACTAAATGACAGAAGAATTTAATACTTCTAAGTCTCTAGAAGTATGTGGTTGCAATACCATAAAGCCTATGTGCATATCTGTCTGGACTGAGGTTCCACTGTGTAAGTTGTCATTATACAAACATAAAGAAAGCCCCTTTCCGGCCATACAAGGCTGATGTTTTAGGATGACTACTATGATCCAAAGGAAGAGGAAGAAAACTTGACGCACATTGCAGGAATCACTTGATGCTATTTTGTTTAAATGATCTGCATGACATAAATCAGTGTCTTTGTGCACAGTAGATATGATAAATCAAAATAACTTAAGACAAAATGCCTGTGTTGTGCTGACAAATGGGGAGTGAACAATCTGCACAAAACAGTGTTTCTCTGACAAAAATAACTGAATAACTGAAATGTTAGTTAAGAAAAATATGGAAATTTAAATAAACAAAAGCTTCAGTACTGCAATCTAACACACCAATTTTATAATTAAATGAAGAGAAGTGCTTCACTTTCACACAATATTAAGAAGACTATGAAACCCACAAGCCTACCTCTCCGCACATTTGTACCAGAGTTACTCCAGTCCACTGGCTTCAGCAGAATAATATCTGACTTACAGTAACACAAAGCCAGAGGAGAAACAGACCTGAAGACTGGAAATAAACTTTTTTTTTTTTTGGTGAAATATAATCCTAAGCATGAGATACAAAAGGTGACTTTCCTGACAAGTGATATCCAAATTCTTAATGGATTTCTGCATGTAACCCGATCTCATTTCATCCTGACATAATCTTAATTAGTCTTAGTTCTACTGCAGAGATGCCTACTGAGGCAGTTAGCACCATATAATTAATCAGATATTTTGCATGCATCACAGCAACCAACAGTGTCAACTTACTGATTTGAGTTAATACAAACAGAAAACAGCCCTGCCTTTCCCTTTCACATGAACTAAAGCATGTGGCATGGAATGAACGTATGACTATATCCTCTAAGCACTGCTTAATGTCCTTTCTTCCCTTAACAATCTTTTCCTAATGCATCATTACTCTCTGCAAAGTATAATTTATTTTTTTTCTGCTGGTAGTAGAAGAACATACAATTTGATATTTCTCTTAAATTTCAGTTTCTTTACAGAAGTGTAAGTCCAACAGCTGAAATAAGCAATAAGACATAAGTCTTGCTGCTGGAATTCATAAATCTCACACTTTATACTTCTTTCTGTGCACTTTAGCAACAAAGTTCCTGTTTTTAAGAAACTTTATTTTGCACCTGCACATAAATATGCATTTGAGAGCACAATCTGCAACACTCAGTCATCTCATAGCAACAGAAAATAAAGTACTTACAATTATAAACATATACGACACTTACACACTAACTCACCAGATTAAAAGCTTCACCACCTCTCCATATAATTGTAGATCTTAACTTTATTCTATTGTTTGAGATTTGTCTTTTGTCTTCATTGCAAAAGCCAAACGTCACAGTATTGTGCCTACTGTCACGGAGGGGGAAACCATATGATTATATTGTTTGACAGCGAAGAAGGAAAAAAGCACTGCTTAAGGAGAGCAGTTTTATAAAGAAGATGATTCTCCATTCTCCTAAGCTTTAATTGAAATAGTTCAGTAAGCTTGATAAAACCACAATAAGCCTTATTCAGTTTTGTATGGCACCTGCAATATGTTGTGGTATTTATCAATAGTAAATGTAATGTTTAATACATTGCAGTGTTTTACTTTAGCAGAACCTTGTAAAACTACTCGCAAGAACAATTTACTCCTTACCTAATATTCAACATAAGAAAGAGCAGTGTCATGTTCTGAAAATTCTCAGATTCTCAGAACAAACCAGTGAGATGACAATAATCTTCCTAGAAAGCCGGCAAAATAATGATAGTTCACTTTAGGAATGGAAAGTGAATTGTTTAACACCTCTCTACAGTGCTTGTGCCCCAAAGCAGTTAAGTATCTAAGACATGAATTATTAAAAATTGGAACAGCTCTAGTGTTTTCGTTTCCAGTGGTATCTCAGCATAAGGAATATATACAGCCTTATTTGCTATCTGATACAAAAAGTCATTCACCATTATTATTGTAGAAGTTCTTGGGATGTTTTTTGTATTTGAAGGCCTATCAAAGAGATCAGTCAGGCTACTGAGATTGCCAAATGTTTCAGGTGTGGTCATTCCTCATTACTGCCATCAAAAGAATATAATGTCTATTTCTCAGCGTCTAATGCTTTGCTCCCTCCTATATGTATCTTCTTAATTTATTTTAATTTTGGAAAAGCACAGCAATTATAGTTCTGATAAAACTGCTACCAGTTTGTTTTATAACCCAAATAAATGTACAGTAACATAATTAATTGTTCAGTTTTGTTCCTGTTTTAGTGAAGGCAAATATTTTATCAAGCAACAGCAGTGAGCATATATGTAAAGTAAGGAAAGATAAGATGTGGTAAGTGTATCTCAAAACACACACATATAAGAAACAACTCAAAGACCATCATCAAGCTATGTGTATGTACTGATGCCTCTTCCCTCCTGAAGACACAGGTCTTTTACCTTCTAACCCTAAGCTACATGTTATAATCCTAGAGTCACTTACGCTGTTCTCTAATTCAGATTCCCCATTCTGGTAGACTTAGTCTGAATGCCTGACATAACATATGGTTAGCATAACATGAATACTAGCCACAAATAACATCAAATGACATAAACCTTCCTTACTCAGATAACTGTCATAGTCACAGGAGCTTTCATTTAAAAGTGGACTAAATCACAAAATAAGATGCCTGGATAGTGGTTTTAAAAGTTTTAAAAACTAATGGCACTCTAAGATTTTCCATACTTTCCTACCTGACCTCATAGCTAGTGCTTTTCAAAGTTAGCAATACTCAGCATCTCCAAATCACTCAAAAAATGCTGAGCAAGCATTCAACTTTTATCAGGTACTTTATACATTATTTTGAACATATACTATATACTTTTTTGGGCAATGCTATTAATCTTCAGTGTGAAAAGCTGATCCACTGAAGACTTGATGTTTACCAATACGTAGTAGCCCAGGTCATCAGAAGTTTGTAATGGGAGCTGGGAACGAAATCAGAGCTTATCTGGCTCTCTCCAGACTCCTTTGAAGGTCTTGGAGTTGTTAATCATAAAATGGGTAAGAAAGACAGCAGTATATCTACCTGATGCAAAAATTGCTATGCAGGTAAAAACTGTAGCTCTGCAAAGTCAGTATATTCAGAGCAGCTGGCAACAGCTACTCCTCAGAAACATGCAAGATTCTTCACAGTAAATGGCTTCTGATGCACAGATCTCCCTTTGACAGGATTTGCTACCTTTGATGCATCAATTAGTCAGCAATTGGCTTAAGCATGGAAACACTGGTTTTATTATATTTTCATTTTGTAAAATATATCTCTGGTCACTCTCATCATGAATCTAAATTCACCTCTGAATATCCATGTGACATATCTAGAACATCTTTTCTCCAGCAGAGCCATAAAGCATATTATGCATTATATTCTTAGGCTGTCATTGATGCCTGGACATTTGAATAGTGTATCTTAGCATTGACTGTCTTTGTCCAGTGGCAGGAGAAACACACATTTATGCAAAGTGTTGAGGGATTTGCAATGTCACACACAGTGGAAGGTCTTGTTTAACAGCCTTTTTCATAGTGCCGACTTTATTCATCTTGCAAGGACTCAGAAACCCTGGCAAGAGTTGAGTCTGCAGTTCCATTGAAACCATTTATTCCAAATTGAATGCTTACACACCTAACATAAGGTCTTTACAAATGGGAAGTAATATGACAATACCTTCTTTTCATCTATCCTATCATTTTTGTTCCCTCAGAATAAATTTCTAGGACAATCAGCATTTGCAACCTGCATACAGAAGCAACTTGGGGTGGGCTTCACATAATGATTCTGGTAGTACTTTGTGGCAAGTTATAAAATAGCAAAGGCACTTAAAGCAATGGTGCTTACCCCGTTCAGTGTCATAGAGGTACACAAACTTTTCCCACTTATAATGGGTCAAGAGACTCAAGATGGCTCCTTTTAATGCTGGCCGCATCTGGATGACAAACTGCACGTCTGCATCTGTTGGGAAGCTGGGTGTGACGAAGGAAGTGTGAAGGGCTCCACAGAATGACGTTAGTGTGTTCATTGACATCTGGTCATAGAATCCAAAGATGGCATAAACGCCTCTGGAAAACTGTGAACAGACTAACAAAAACAGACAGAGGGGTTAAAATGTGAAATAAAATGAATGCAAACAATTTTTTGAAGTATATTTGAAGTAAGCCCTCTAAGCAATCCTGAAGTTGTTTTGTATGATGCAGTAGATGGAATGAATTTGTGAGATATTATATATTAATTTCAGTGTACCTGTGAGTTGTACAAACTTTCTGTCACAATTAAACTGGTCTGAGTATATTTTTAATTCAAATTGTGGTGCTACATTGTTATAATCCGCTAATCTTTCCACATTCCTTAAGAAACAAACACTGGATTACATTGCCTATCTGTAAAATACCTTCCCTCCCTTGAGTAGCACCTTGAGAGCTCTGTTAGCAGTTACACAACAAATGTCAAGTCTGCCTAAATATCAAAACATTAAGATGCAGTTTTCCCCGGCATCCCACTCTGATTCAGATTTGACTCAAAGCAACCTCACTGTTTCATTTCTTTACAGTCCATCACTCTGAAATCCCTGTAAGAAACCTGGGTTAGGTCTTTTTCAATGAGAAATTACGGTGACTTCTTAATAGAGTACTAAAATGTTCAGAAGCAATTTGGAAGGTGTATGGCTTACCAATATAAAGAATACCTATTGTTGCTTCACGTGACAGACATTGATACTGTTTAACCTGGAGGTTTTTAGTGTTTAACCATGCTGGTGACCTGAGGAACTCATCTAGTGTCAGGACACAAAACTCAGCCAGAGGTGTTTTGTTTCATGTGTACTTATCTGGAGAAACACTGCATTTCCCAGACTTTATAGAGATCTGAATAATGACCATTTTGGGCAAAAATGAAAGTACTTCAATTTAGAAATGTAGTCAACTTTGTGGAAGTTGCAGGGAGAATGAGTTTTTTGTTGTTCAATTCTGTAGGAACAGAACAAATTTCTTGTGGCCCTGGGTTCTTCCTGTGGAGAGACTGCATCAGAGACACTGAAGAAACCTCACGGGTAGGATGCAGAGGTTCAGCTCTATAGTAAGGATGGTGATCACCACACAGATGAAGCACACTACAGCACAGCAGCACTTTACATCAAAACCTTTCTGCACTGGGATAAGCAGGTCCCATTTGTAATGAAAAACAAGTTTCCAAGAAAAATGGCCACTCAGCATCAACAATTCCACTTGTCAAGAGCTGGATTTTGCACCAATTTCCAACTAGCCCCATTAACCACTTTTGCCAAAACACTGTGTACTTTGCAGAAAGCAAGGGGAAGTTGTTACTGGTAAAGTAGACATAACTTCTACACAGAAATATACAGCATAGATACTTCTGCAAGTACCATCATGAAACATTTCCTAACATAAATGCTATTCAGAATCACCAAAGCCTGTTAAAGTAATTTTGAAAAGGTTTCACCACCATATTAGCTCATTACAGAATCACAGAATCAGAATCAAAGAATTTCTAGGTTGGAAGAGACCTCAAGATCATCGAGTCCAACCTCTGACCTAACACAAACAGTCCCCACTAAACCATATCCCTAAACTCTACATCTAAACGTCTTTTAAAGACTTCCAGGGATGGTGACTCCACCACTTCCCTGGGCAGCCTGTTCCAATGCCTAACAACCCTTTCAGTAAAGAAGCTCTTCCTAACATCTAACATAAAACTTCCCTGGCGCAACTTTAGCCCGTTCCCCCTCGTCCTGTCACCAGGCACGTGGGAGAACAGGCCAACCCCCACCTCACTACAGCCTCCTTTGAGGTATCTGTAGAGAGCAATAAGGTCGCCCCTGAGCCTCCTCTTCTCCAGGCTGAACAAGCCCAGCTCCCTCAGCCGCTCCTTGTAGGACTTGTTCTCCAGGCCCCTCACCAGCTTCGTCGCCCTTCTCTGGACCCGCTCAAGCACCTCCATGTCCTTCTTGTAGCGAGGGGCCCAAAACTGAACACAGTACTCGAGGTGCGGCCTCACCAGAGCTGAGTACAGGGGGACGATCACCTCCTTAGCCCTGCTGGTCACACTGTTTCTGATACAAGCCAGGATGCCGTTGGCCTTCTTGGCCACCTGAGCACACTGCTGGCTCATATTCAGCCGACTATCAACCATCACTCCCAGGTCCTTCTCTGCCAGGCAGCTCTCCAACCACTCATCTCCCAGCCTGTAGCTCTGCTTGGGGTTATTGCGCCCCAGGTGCAGGACCGGCACTTGGCCTTGTTGAACTTCATGCAATTGACCTCAGCCCATCGGTGCAGCCTATCCAGATCCTCCTGCAGAGCCTTCCTGCCCTTGAGCAGATCGACACATGTGCATAGCTTGGTGTCATCTGCAAACTTACTGAGGGTGCACTCAATGCCCTCGTCCAGATCATTGATGAAGATATTAAAGAGGACCGGCCCCAGCACCGAGCCCTGGGGGACGCCACTAGTGACTGGCCTCCAACTGGACTTGACTCCATTTACCACAACTCTTTGGGCCCGGCTATCCAGCCAGTTTCTAACCCAACGAAGCGTGCACTAGTCCAAGTCAAGAGCAGCCAGTTTCTTGAGGAGAATGTTGCGGGAGACAGTGTCAAATGCCTTGCTGAAGTCAAGGTAGACCACATCCACAGCCTTTCCCTCGTCCACCCAGCGTGTCATTTTGTCATAGAAGGAGATCAGGTTCGTCAAGCAGCACCTCAAATTGGTACTCAGTTGTGAAAATTTCATTTTCTTCCTGGAGGTCCAGATGCAAAAATAGAAAGGTTACTAAAGAACTTATTTAAGTGTTTAAGATATTGTAAAAGGACATGACCAGAAGTGGATACCAGCAGCAAATAACAACTGGCATATAGAAAACAGATGCAGATAGGGCATGGAGAGGGAATAAGAAATACTGGTTTCTGAAAGAAAAGTTTGAAGAAGTTCTCAACCACAGTGGAGAAAAGATATAAAAGAAGTTATAATACAGCTAGAATGTATTCCCAGAGGCATGACCAAGGAATTAAATACACAGGTTCAAAAAGCATTTTGTTAAACCATATACCAGCAGAATATAAAGTAGAAAAGCTACCATAAAGATTATCCACTGAAATAACAAACAAACAAAAAAAAAAAGCACTAACTTACAGGTAAAAAAAAAAAAGAAAAAAAGAGAAAAATAAGGACTACTTTAGAAAGGCTAGCAGTCTCCAAATCATTTCAATGACATAAAAACTCTCTAATTCCATGGGAATAACCACTGAAGTGGCTAGCAAGAGCTGAGTGTCCTCACATATACTGAGTCAGTACCTTACAGATTAGACTTCTTTTATGTATTTATTAATGGCCTAGTTTACCAGCTTTTGTGCAGATTCTTACTGTGGAGAAAGAAGAAAAGAGTAAGTCAGTGTATTCCAGGAAATATCCCAACAAGGGGCATCCCAGTGCAGGTGAGAGGAGAGGATCACCAACAATATCTTCCAACAAGCATAGACTCCTGCCCAGTATTATATTCTGATTCAGGTTTGTATTCACTGCAGATCTTTAACATTTTACAGGCTATCTATCTTGTATTAGTTTTTAATATCTTCATCTCTTAAGCTTCTATGCTTCTTTCTTTATACCTTATTTCTTCTTGACTATCTAATCTGCATGCACTGTAGTGTGCCAATGCAATTTTACTGGTCCATTTAAAAGGCAAATAAACCTTTGTTTTTATAAGGGGAAGATAAAAGACCAATTATCTTGGTCCTCAATGTTCACTTGCATTTTTGAACTCACAATTTTCCTATGACTTTGTAGCATTATATCTTTTGTTTACTCTGTGACCCAATCTCATGTGGTCAGATCAACATGCTGAACATCCACAAAGCCATGGCCATACTGCTCCTTGGTTTCCAAAAACCAAACACATCATTACACTTATTTTAATTACATTACCATTCTAACACCACGAATCTGTAAACAAAAATTAAAAAAGAAAACAAAACTTAATTTTAGGTAAATTTAGTTTTAGGTAACTAAACCTTAGCATCAAGCTCTTTATATAAACTATCTTCTATTGACAACAGGACAACCCTCATTTTAGAGTAAGAATTATGGTATTTTTCCTTAATTCATCACAGTTGATTTATGTTTGTTTTTCCCTCCTAAAAAAATGCAGATGGTCAAACACATATTTTGGCAATTAAAGAAATGATTTGGACAAATCCTGATGTAACCATTCATTCCATAAAAACAGTAATTTTATTTTTTTTTCTGAGATATATCTTTAAGATACTGTTCTTACTCACAGCTCTTTTTTTTGATACTGTTTCCAAGGACAGCACACAACCAAGTTTCTTTATTGCCTGATCCGAAAAAATTGTAACCTGTGTAAGTAAGGGAGAAAGGTCCCAAGTAGCTTTTATTCTAACGGTGGACCCCTTTTGGTCCTAATGGTGGACCATAATAAGCCATTATTTTGGCATTAGATGCAAGACAGATACAACTTTTTAAATGGAGACGTAACTCTGGGCTTGTCCTCAGAGTAAGTTAGCTGCCACATAGTATTTTTTTCAGCAGAGGCAGGGGTATATGACAGAAGCCTGGGAATTCTCAAGCATGTAAAGAGAAGATAAGGAACTTCCAGGTCATGAGGGATTGAATTGTTTTTTGCCAAGGAAAGGAAACACTCTGAGCCATAATGATCACTTTATTTTTTTTAAATAACAGTGATTTGTTAAAATAATAATAAAACAACAAAACCCACAAACAATGATAAAAAACACACAAGAACAACAAAAGCAAAACATAAACCAAACCAAAAACAATTAAATAAAAATCCTTGCTTCTCTATGGAATAGTAGCTGAACCTTCCTAAACCTCAGTGTAACTCACTGAACCCCTGACTTCGGTTGTTTTACTAGCAGATCCATCCTTTCTTCAGTCAAATCAGCCCTGCCACAGAAATTTAACCAGATTAAGACTAACCAGATGTGATTTTTTTCACTCAGTCCCCAGGAATGCTCCAGGCCAGAATCTCAAAAGATGCCCCATCTCATACAAGTTATTAGATGATTTGCATCTTCTTTAAATTTATTT